AGAGAGAGAGAGAGAGAGAGAGAGAGAGAGATACATACACACATACATACACATACATACATACATACACACACACACACAGACACAAACACACACAGACACACACACACAGAGCTTCTCCTCCTTTCACAGGACTGGGGTTTCCCTTGTACTGTAGGCTGTGGCTCGGATGAGTCTAAGAAGATTGTTGGTTGTGGGAACTTGAGTCATTTTTTTTCTCCCTATCCAAAGACATGGTGGTGGCCTCTCTGGTCCTTCTGGAAGCTGGCAATTCAGAAGCAGGGAAGATCACCTTTCTTATAGGTCGTGTGTGTGTGTGTGTGTGTGTGTGTGTGTGTGCAGATACATGTGTTTGTGCATGCAGATACACGTGTGTGCTCATACAGATACATGTGTGTCTGCACGAGGATGCTTGTGTGTGTGTGTGTGCGTGCATCTGTGTGTATGTGTGTATATATACAGTGTGTGCAATTGTGTGTAGCTACATGAGTGTGCATAAGGAGATTAGAGGTTGATGTCATCTAATGTCCTCCTCAGTTTCTCTCCACCTTATTTTTTGAGACAGGGTTTCTCACTGTATCTGGAGCTCAGCAGTAACTAGACTGGCCAGCCAGTGAGCCCCACCCCTACTCCCACTCCACCCTTGATGGGGCTGGGGAGGATCCAGTGCTGCTGGGCAAGCCTTTTTGCACCAGACTAAGGAGAGCCCTTTCTCCAGCCCTGAGCAACAAACATTTATCTTATTAAAGTCTGGGCAGCTTTTCTGTGCTCCGAGGTCCTTCTGCCCCATTTGGTGCCCCACCCCCACCTCTTGTCTTTCCTCAGAAGTGACTCAGACCCCTCCTGAGCCCAGGACAGGCTAGGAAGGAATGTGTGTCTGACTCAAAACACCAGAGAAACTGAGAGGGGGAGTTCCCTCCTCACTCCAACCCCTCCCCCATCACCCTGTCTACCTTAGAGCATCTGGGGCCTGCCATCCCCTGGAGAGTTTCTTCAGAAGCAGGAAATGACATGTTCTCACTATTTCCTGTGGCTTACTGCTCACCCTGTCCAGGAAGGGTTCTTGCAACCTTAGGTTCAGATCTGGGACGTTTCTTGTTCAGTTACCACCCTGCCCCCCGCCCCCAGGTTGCCAGACTGAGGAGCAGCAAGCAGCTGCCTGAGCTTCAAATGACATTGACCTTGCCACTGAATGAGGAGGGGGAGCAGTGATTGAGGGTTTGTAGGCAGAGCCTTGTCTCCTTTTCACACAGTGTCTACAGACTTTCATTTCCTAGCTTGTTTTCCCTGAGGGTGAGGTTCTTGACCAGCTGGACACATGCTGGATTTTGGAGCTGCACATAACATCTCTTGATGCTTATCAAGTGACTGTCTCCACAGCCACACCAGTCTCCAATGGAGCTCAAAGTAGGGCTTTGTTCTGCCCATTTAACAAAGAAGAAGACTGAGACCTACAAAGAGAAAGGCTTTGTCATATCTTCTTTTCTTAGCCAGTGCCTCTTCCATGGTCCTGCACCAAGGGATGGTGACACTTGACACCTGAGACAGGAGTAGAGCCTTGTTTAGTGTTGTGGAGTTGTGGGTTCAAGCCTTGAGGATTGCCAAGCCTGTCCTGCACGAGTCTCTCCTAGTTTCTTGCTGCATTGTTTCTTGGGGGCTCCCCAACCTGAGCTTACATAGATAAAAGGCCTTTGAGATACCTTATAATCTACTTGGACTGACATCCCTCCCTCAGCCAGCCTCTGGAAGTTTAGTGAACTGTCCCTACTATTCTTTATAATTACTTGTTCTGTTCTATTTAAATGAGCAAATTTATTTATTCTAAGTGAGGACTAATCTGACACGACTCGCTGTCTGAAAGTGATGTAAGCTCATGGTTTCTTGTGTATCATCCTAAAGTTATCCTAAATTGTGTATGTGTGTGTGTGCACTCATGTGTGTGTGCATGTGTATATGTGTATGTTTGTGTATGTGGTGTGTTTGTATGTGTATGTGAGTGTGTGGTGTGTTTATGTGTCTGTGTGTGTGGTGTATTTGTGTGTCTGTGTGTGTGGTGTGTTTGTGTGTCTGTGTGTATGCTCCAGTGAGTACGTGAGTGCATGTGTCTATATGCATGTGTGTGTGCCTGTGTGTGTCCTCTTTTGCACTGTCAGAGATTGTCCATATCAGTACAGAAAGTTGTCTCATTCTTTCTTCTTTTCATAAACTATTTATTTGCAAGGATATACTGTAATTGATTCAGTGTCGTTTTCAAAGTCATATTCTAGGAAGTTCAGTCTACAGCCAGAAAAAGGATGTGATCCCTTTAAGGGGTTCAGACAAAGAAGAAAAGAAAAAGGAACTGTTATTGGAAGTTAGTGTTAGAAACCAGTATGTATCTGATGTTGCTAAGGAAGTTGTGTCCCTTAATTCATCTCTAAATACCATAATGGGATTGCCCTGTGTAAATGGAAACCTCCACAGAGACTGCTCAGTGACTTCCCTTAAGGGTAAAGTTGCATACACATCATTGCTGACGAGCGCTTTCTGTCCAGCCAGTTGCTTGGCAACCAGTAGATGATGGCTGTTTCCTCCTCCTCTGGGAAACAGAAAGATGGTCCATGGCCAAAGCCTGTGGTCATAGTCACTTTAGAGAAGCCTGTGGGAGAAAGGGCTTGAGCCCTGGCCAAGAGACAGCCAGGAAGCAGGAGGGCCTGGCAAGGTTGCCCAGTGCCAGAAGTTGTGATCCACAACAGATCAACCAAGGGTGACCGGGCTAGAAGGGCCTCTCTGTTCAGAATTGAAAGCCAGAGTTTATGGAGCTGAGGTCAGTACAAGTTTAAAGATAAGTAAAGATGTAAAGTCCTACATAGGCAGTCTTTCTTCTGCTTAAAAAAAAAGTAATCTTTGAGATAGGATTTTTTTGTATAGCTTAAGGAAGTTTGAAGTTGCTGTGTGTGTACCCCAGGTTAGCCTGGAGCTCATGATCTTTCTGCCTCTGCCTCTTCAGAGCTGGAGTTTCAGGATTTAAAAATCACAGGCCTGTGAGCTGGCTTAGAGTCACTTAGCACAAAGATGACAACCTGAGTTTAGATAGGAGAAGACTGACTCCTAAAGTTGTTTTCTGACCTTCACAGAGGTGCCAAGGCATGCATGTGCCCCCTCCCCACACATACATGTGCACATGTATGCACACATGCATGCACAAACAAACACACACACACATTCACAGACAAATGTAATTTTTGTTTTGTTTTTGCTGTTGTTTTTGAGACAGGGCTTCTCTGTGTAGCCCTGCCTGACCTGTAACCTGCTCTGTAGACCAGGCTAGCCCCAAACTCAGAGATCTGCCAATCTCTGCCTCCCAAATGCTGGAATTAAAGACATGTGTCACCAGACCCAGCAACAAATGTAACTTTAAAATTAAAAACGTTAAGCATGAACCAGGCTTGGTGGCTCAGGGCTGTAATGCCAGCACTTGGGAGACTGAGGCAGGAAGATAGCCTCAGTCTTTGAGTTCAAAGCCTGTAAGGTCCAAAAAGTAAGAAAGAACAGAAGTCAGTAGGTAGGGATACGTCTCAGCTGGTAGAGTACACACCTAACACACTTGTGGCCCTGGGTTCAATCCCCAGCACCATGTGATCTGGGCGTGGTAGTAGGGGTGCCTGTTTAACATACATGCACACACACACACACACACACACGAGGTCCCCAGCATAGCATAAACACTGATGTGCTGCTGATCTGTGCCTGTGATATCAGAGGTGAGGCAAATCAGAAGTTCAAGGGTATTCTTGCCTATATATTGAATATGAGGCTGCCCTGGCATACAGAGACTTGGCTCAAAAAAAGAAAAGAAAGGAAAAGTGCCTGCTTTTCTAGCCCAGACAGCAGAATGTTTTCTTTTTCTATGTCTGTATTCACTGACTATGACTTCCCCCTGGAGAGAACATGCCCATGCTTGGATGTGTCTGTCTTCCTTTCTATGACTTTCTCTCTACAAGCCTATGTTCTTGAGTATGCCTTGGTTTCTTCTAGGCTCCTCCTTTTTCTGATTAACTTTCATTCATAACCTTAACTTATAATATCTTTGTTAAACTCCAACCCTGTGAAAGAAAAGGGAAACTTGTTTGCTGAGGGGGGGGGAAGAGTGGTCACAGGTGAAGGAGACGGTAGGGAGGGAAAAAGATGGTGTGCGGTCAGGGTAGAGAGGGAGATGTTTGGTAAACAAAAGGGAGATGTTTGGTAAATGAAAGATGTTTGTTTGTGTAAGGCTTTTTAAAAACAAACAGCATTTAGTTAGAGACCTAAGGGACGAGAATCTGTTGGTCAACAGAAGAGCTCCCGAGGTTGGGAGTCTACAGTGGTGGAGTGCTTACTGGTGTGTAGAGTCTTGAGTTCAATTCCCAGTACTGAAAAACAAATAAACAAAACTATCCACACATAGGCTAATTTAAGCAAGGGTTTATTTGCAACAGGGTCTTCAGTCAGAAGCAGCTTGCTATGCTCAGGGAATGGAAATACCTAGATGAAATCAACTTTCATTCCAGGTGCAACTAGAGTGTATGATTTTACCTGAGGAAATCAGATAGCACCGACCCTCAGAATGATCTAATTCATTATCTTACTGATTCATTTGTTTCACAGTGACAATGAATTAGAGAGGATGGAAGTGTATTCCAAGAACAGTCAGGAGATGCTGCAGTGCTCCAAGAGAGAAAGCTGAATGGTGCCAAGGTTTTGGGAGGACATGGGTTGGAGTTAGCTTTTAGACTGGACTTCCTCAGGAACTAGCAGTAGGTTGCTATGAGGAATATCTAGGAGGGGAAGAACGCAGGCTCATCCCAGGGGCATCAGCACTAAGATGCTGTTAATACAGATGGGTCAGCAGAGGAGGAGGTCAGATGTAATGTGGAAAGCACGGTGTTTGTTTTTGGGAACAAAGACTGAAGATTTGAGCTGGAGAAATCCACCCGGGAGCCAGGAAAAGATGAGATGGCCTGAAGAAAAAAGTGTAGGAAAAAGAAGAGCCATGGATTGAGAAGGATGTGGAGGGAGTAAAACCAAGATGGAGGCTGCAGATGCTAAGGGACAAGTGTCCCAGAGCTCAGCTAGGGAGAGAGCTCAGAAAGGAAGGGACATTGACTATGATAATGTTCCTGAGAGATCAAATGAGACAGATTTAAAGAATAAAAGACCTGAAAATAACAGAGGGATGTTGAGGAAGTTCAGCTTCTGGGGTCTGGAGAGCCGGTTCAGCAGATAAGAACATTTGCTTCTGTTGCAGAGGACACAGGTTTAGTTCCCAACCCCCACGTGGTGATTCACAACCATTCAGAACTCCAATTCCAGGGGATGTGACACCTTCTGACTTCCCAGGGAACCATAAATATTCAGGCAAAACATTCATAAACGTAAAGTAAAATTTAAAAATCTAAAAGGTGAAGAGTTTCATTTAGGGGCCATTGTTGGGGGTGGGTGCCTTACCAGGTGGTGTCACAGTCGCTGGGACCCCTGTGCTATCATGATCTCAGGAAGCCCAGGAGGAAGTGCTGAGTTGGCTGAAGTCTGTGGCTGATTGGCAGGATGTGCTTTACAAATCCAACGACTCCGTTTCTTCTTCATGATTGTCATCTGCAAATACCAGATAGCCTGAGCTGGACAAGAGCACACAGGGTGTTGAGGATCCCCTAAACATCTTCTTGGGGTTTGGTCGATTCACCTGCTGCTCCCTTTTATCCCACAGGACACTTCACAGCCATGATATGGAAGAATACCAAGAAGATAGGCGTGGGGAAGGCGTCTGCGAGTGATGGGTCTTCCTTTGTGGTGGCCAGATACTTTCCAGCAGGGAATATTGTCAACCAGGGCTTTTTCGAAGAGAATGTCCCACCTCCAAAGAAGTAACTCACCAAATGTAATGAGATGGAGACGATATATGACGTGCCTCTAGAACCATAAAAAGCCAGCGAGTGTCTGTCCCTGTGGGCGTATGTACTTATGTGTTTACCTGTGGGCATCTTTTGTGACAGCTGCACGTGAGCTCATTCTGATTAAAGAATGGGAATCGGAAATATTTATCTAGAGGGTTAGCTAGACCACAATAATTACTCAGATTGGATAAGGTTAATTCTGACATCCTTTTTCTGGTTTTGTTTTTTGTTTTGTTTTTGTTTGTTTTTTTCAAGGTAGGGTTTCTCTGTGTAGCCTTGGCTGCCCTAGGATTTGTTCTGCAGGCCAGGCAGACCAGGAACTCACAGAGATGCTCCTGCCTCTGCCTCCCAAGTGTGGGATTAAAGGCACAAGTGGCTACTGCCTGTTTGGTTTTTGGTTTTTTTGGTTTGTTTTTTTTCTTTTTTCTCTTTTTCTTTTTTCTGTTATTTTTAAAATAGACTTCATTTGAAACTTTATTTCTAATATCCATACTTGGACTTTGAGTATTCTGAATATTTACCATTCTGAGAAGTGAGGTCCTTTCATAAGCTCTGCCTGCATTGTAATCTTCTTTTGGTAGATATTGAAGGGATCAAAACATCCTTTAGAGGTGACATAAAGCAGCTTGTGTTAGAAACATGTGTCCAGCTGCATTTCACAGGATCAGTGTGTGTTCTCATTCTCAGTTGGAAGACATGATATCATCCTGCATCCTCCGGGATTCCCTAATGTTATTACCAAAGAGCAAATGGAGAAGGAAAAAAGAGCCTTACATCCTTGAAGTTTTTCAACCTTTAAAGAGCAAATACCACAGCCACTAGCATCTCTCACACCTCACAATTTTTTTGTTTGTTTGGTTTTTTTTTTTTTTTTTTGGTTTGTTTGTTTTGTTTTTTAAGTTTCATAGCTCACAGCCCTACTCTGGCTTTTGGGGGCGGAGCTAGGTCTGGAATGCAGCCCCGCCCCCCACTCATCTCGCAGACCCTCACACTGCCTGGGCTCTCCGCCAAGGCCTTGGACTATGAAGTCAATATAGCAGAGATGAAGGTGAACTTCACTTTGGGGCCCAGAAGGAAGCCCCAAAGCCTCTATCCTTCCCCATCCCTGCAGGCGGTGACCACCCAGGCCTGTCCCCAGCAGCTGTGGCTGCAGCTGCGTCTTGGCTTCCTCCCGAATGTGTGACAAGCCCAAATGCTCCCGGGAGGAGGCCCAAACAAGGATATTAGGGATGCTAATTTGATCCTGTGTTTTGCCTCAAACTATATACAGTTCCCTCTGAAGAGCTGATTTAACCATGTCCACCGGGAGGAACCAAGCCAGAGGTTGAATTGCGGATCCCTGAAATGGTGGTATCTCCTCCTGCAAGGAGTCAAAGGGGTTGTTGGCCTAATGACAGCAAGGCTGGCTGGTCTTTGTTACACTGTGAACAGTCCCACACTGCGCCACTTGGTTCATCCAGGGATAATGACTAACGAGACAATAAAATCCTTTCCTTTTTGTGTAATTTCTTCCTCTCATGCGATTTATGCTTAGTTTATGGCTGAGGTAATTCGGGACTCTGAATCTATCTTGAGCCACTCCTCCTCCCCAGCCCCTCCTCTGGGGACTGTACTGCCTAAACAGCTACTTTTGGAAGCATGTGACCTACAGATGAATAGAGGGCAGACCAACAACAAGGAATTCGATCTTAAGACACATGGAGAGAATTTATTGGTGGAACTGAAAACATACACGTGGTACAAGTTTAAAACAGAGGCCCAACAAACCTAAGCTATGTATGTGGCCCAGTTATTAATGGTAAAGACAGGTGAGTCTGCCCTGGAGGCACAAGCTAGAATCCTAGCTACTCTGAGAACTGAGGCAGGACGATGAGAAGTTCAAGGCCAGGCTGGACAACTTACTGAGACCCTGTCTTAAACTGTCACTTGCATGCCTGAGACTCTAAAGGCAAGTACCATGCTTCATGCTTTGAGGACCAAGAGGCTATCCTGAGCTTCCTGCTTGTAATTCTGTATATCTTTGAACATGCCCTAATTATCTTTAAGGGTTTGCAATACAGTGATGTCAATCTATAAAAAATAGAATATTAGAGTCTCCTTCCCAGGAAATTCCCATAGATGGAAAGTGCCAACCAGGGCAGGAGGGCAGTGGGTGGAATAGAGGCCTGGCAGGGGCCCTTTCCTGGCCACCCCAAGCAAACAGCCAAAGAACTTCCTGCCGACCCCTGGTAGCACCAATGTCTGCATAGAACCAGGGCGGAAGCTGGCATGAAGCCACTCTCTAAGATAGAATCTGTTTCCACAGTTGGTTGGGTCTAAGGAAAAAGCTGCTTTCCAGGACTGGGGAAGAGCCAGGGAGAAATGCTGGCTGGCAGATGGGCACAGCCACACCCACTTTCCTTTTATATTCTGACAGTCTCACAGAGTAGCCCTGGCTGTCCTAGTACTTGCTATGTAGACTAAGCTGGCTCCAACTTGGCAATTCTCCTACCCCTGGATCATTCCTTATTTAACTTCAAAGAGCATCTTATTAATGAGATATGGGGGTACACACCTTTAGTTCCAGCTGAAGCAGAGGGAGACACAGACAGTTCTTCATGAGTTCCAAGCCAGCCTGGGCTAACAAGTTCTAGGACAGGCAGGGCTACATAAAGAGACCCTGTGTCGGGCTGGAGAGATGGCTCAGTGGTTAAGAGCACTGACTGCACTTCCAGAGGTTCTGAGTTCAAATCCCAGCAACCACATGGTGGCTCACAACCATCTGTAATGAGATCTGATGCCCTCTTCTGGTGTGTCTGAAGACAGCTACAGTGTACTCATATATAATAAATAAATAAAATCTTTAAAAAAAAAAAAAAGAGACCCTGTGTCTTAGGCGTTTTATTACTGTGGTAAAATGCCTTGACCAAAAGCAGCTTGGGGAAGCTCTTGCATCTTACACTTCTGGTACATTGAACCTCCTCATTGGGAAGGGCAGGGCATGGAATTTAGAGTCAGGAACTAAAACAGTCCACGGAGGAATGCCATTCACTGGCTGCTCAGCCTGTTCTCTGGATGACCTGCCCAAGGACGGCACCAACCGACAGTGAGCTGGACCCTCCCCCATTGATCATCAATCAAGCAACGCCTCCCGGACTTGCATACAGGTCAATCAATATACTTAGGTATTTTTCTCAACTAAGGTTCCTTCTTTCCAGATGCATCCAGGTCAACCAAAACACCATCTCTAAACACAACAAAATTGTATATAGCTTGTGTAGGAAAGAGGACAACTTTGTGGACACACTGCGTCCTTCTGCCTTTATGTGGGTTCCAGGAGTTGAATTTGGTGACCGGGCTTGCTCGACAGATATTTTACCTGCAGAGCGACCTCAACAGCATCCGTCCAAACACCTCTTTTTTTTTTTTTTAATCTCAAGTAGTCTAGAACTTAAGACTGCATAACTAAAGGTGACCTTGAACTCTCAGTCCTCCTGCCTCTATCTCTAAAGTGCTTGGATTGCAGGCATGCGCCACTATTCCAAACTTCTGTGGTTCTAGAGGTCAAGCCTACAGCTTTGTGCATGACAGGCACAAGTTCTAACCACCGAGCTTTACCCCAGCCCAGCTTAGTGAGCTTTTACCTCTTTTAATTTTAACTTTGAGACAGTTTATTATGTTGCCCAGGCTGAATTTAGGTCCTTCCCCAATCTCCAAGGGCTGAGACACATATGAACCCCACACTCCACTTTTTGTTTAATTTTAAGGTCTACACATGTGGACCACCACACCCCAATTTTTGTTTTGTTTTAAGGTCCATGTTACCCAGGCTGACCTTAAACTTTTGAGCTCAGAGTTCTTCCTGCTTCTGCCTGCCGAGTGACGGATTCCAAACTTTCAGTCTTGAGTTTGTTGAGGACAAGGATGGTGAGCTCTACACTTAAGACCCAAGAATGTGGCAGAAGATCTCTAGTTGAACAAACCTCTTCTTCCAGGCCTTAGTCAGGTCTGTCAGATCCTCCCAGACCTCCATGATCTCCAGCTGGAGGCACACAGTGAGTGAGCTCATTTCTGTCCTGCTGCTCTGGGATCTGATGACCTTCTGCTTCTGGTAAGTGTCCCAGGAAGTGGGGTCTGACAGTCAGGAAGCCACAGGATTCAAACATCCTTATCAGCTTCATGATGCTTCCTCTAGCCAAGTGGCCTGTTTCTCATGAGACCTGGAGAAGTATGCAAAGCTGAAATTCAGAGAGAGAAGAGAGAGAGAGAGACAGAGAGAGAGACAGAGAGAGAGACAGAGAGAGAGA